CCATTGAAAAGGCACCATTTGGAGAAAACATGTGCCATTTCCAGTCTGTGGGAGCAAGCTGGTGAGGCATTCCTTGACTAATGATCAAATCAATCTAGAGCCGGAAGCCAGCTCAGAGAAAATCTTGATGGCCCAGAGTGCTGCCCCTGACAGGGACGCGCATGGGAGCGAGGTTTCGAACAGTTGCCACTTGTCTCGATGATTGGTTTGGGTTAAGCCCTGTCATGTTGAAAAGGTGGAGCAAGCCAGTACTTGGGGTACTTCATGATGTTTGGCTACATTTAGGCTTTGCAGCGCGCTGTGTTGCTCAGAGCGACGCGGCAGATCCTCGCAGCAGTTGAATCACTTCGACATGTTCACGGACTATTAAGCTTGTCGCCAGCCAGAAGCTTTAAGCACAGTGAGTGCTCTGAAACGGCGACGGCGTACCTTGGACCAGGCTGAAGATGCGACGGCAGTGGCTGGTGCCTGACCTTGTCACCTGGACCTTTGGCAGCACTCTTGGCAGAGAGACCACATTCATTTCACCGGCGAGTGCTAGCAGAACCTGTGCGCAGGAGAGGGGTCCAGAGACAAAGAGGATTCATCGAGAAGGAGGAACAGCGGGAATAGCCTGAGTAGCCTCTGCAGTATTCTAGCAAAGGTAAGTAAGAAATGGTAACTTTACAAAGGCCCGAAGTTTTGGGCACATCCCAGGAAGCAAGGAGGGATCCTTGCCGGTGGTTTGCAATACCTGGTTGCTCTCATTGTGGATTACACAGTACAGAGATCCACTCCCCCCATTCCCTATTTGCAGCCATGTCGGGGTTTCCCAAAATTAGGGGTACCTTTTTGGGGTTCCCTATAATAAGGATTATAATATTTTGGGGTCTATATTGGGGTCCCCTATTGAGGGAAATTGCCATGTTTGGTTTGGAATCACCGAGCTGAGGAGTGCTTTGTGTTCTGCAGCAGAGAAGGCGCAGCTTATTGAGGGTTTGGTGGAGTACGGTTATGCAGGGCTACTGCGAGCAGGTCCTGGCGGGGAACAGCAGAGATTCTGCAGTTTTGCACCAGGATCCAAGGTTTATGCTTCATCAGAGTATGCTTCTCCATACAGAATTCCAACCGCGCTTAGAAGTCTGAAGTCTTCCGGTCTTGCAACATGGGGAATTCGCGGACATGTGATGTAGGCGAGGGCTCACATGCCCTACCAAACCCAAACACGGCTCCTTAATTCCATGATGTCCTGCTACCGTTCTCTTGCCCTGCTGGTAAACCTCAGGGCGGAGCTTGGCCTTGGGCTCTGGAGGTCTTGTGGGAGCCAGGCAAGGATGATGAAAGTTTTTCCAAACTACTGGCCGCTTTTCTTTGCAGATCAGCGTGTCTCAACAATGTATGGTTTTGGGTGATGATGGGCATAAGCAGTTCTGATGATATAGGCCTGGATCACATAGTCTTGCGCTTTGAAGCCACTGCCCCAGTTCATGTTCCGTTGCCAGGTTGGAGTCCAGGGCACATCGCCTTCAATGCAGCGGCGGCGGCCTGTGAGCGAGGTGCCTTCTCAGGGACTCTGGGATCCCGTGCAGTACTCCGCGGCGCACGTAGGGATGTTGAGCTTGACATTATGTACATGTTTGCTGGATCTGCTCGATGGTTGGGGTTGCAAGCGTCTCTGTGTGTCGCATTACAGCAGTACAACGGATCTGCGGCAGCTGGGCTTTGCATAGGTGTGCAGGAGCATTAGCATGTGGTTATTTGTTCTTTTCCTCAGAATACTACCCTGGCAGCGTGCCTGACAAAAGTCTCATGGGCAGGTGGCTGCTGGGAGCAAGCGCTGCAAGTGCTTGCGGAGATGCGTCGGTGCGGATCTCTGAAAGAGGGCCAAGGTTTGAGGATGGGAGCTGGATTTCGGATAGGCCTGCGTCTGGTTGGCCATCGGGGGCCTTTGCGGGTCATTCGTGGGAGGAATTGATCACGGAGATGAATGCTGCTCCCTGCTGGGCAAAAGTGAGCACATCCCAGCGTTTTTTTTTGGCAAGGCGGAAGTCCAAACCGAGCCCTCCCAAGCTAGGTGTCAGCTCACTCCGGATGCGCTGAGCTTCGGTGCTGCCGTGGCCGCGGCTGCAGCGGCGGGAGCGTGGGCGGTGGCAGTGCGGCTCATGGAGGCGGCTAGCTGCTAGCTTAATTTGAGCTGAAGGTAGAGGAGTAGGAGTAAAAAGATGATAGCAGTCGACATCCCAGATCCTTTGTGTCTTGGTTTTTGTTTGTCTCTAGACTTGATCGAAGATAAGCCAGAGCAGATTGAAGAAATCATGAAGGTGGGACATACAGAGGGAATGCACGAAAGCTCTTTTCCGCCGTGACGTGGTTTCAGTTGAGCATGCCAATTGGCAGAACGCAGGTTTCTGCGCGGTAAAATTGTACAGGATGATGATGATGATGATGATGATGATGATGACGACGACGTGGATGGATGGATGGATGGATGCATGGATGGATACACGTAGGTAGGTTGGATACTGGATACCGTTGCAGTTGTCTCGGATCACTTGACATTGATTTTAGCTTGCCCTTGTCCGCCATGCTCAAAAGTCTTCTGATCTGCGATGAGTGCAGGAGATGGAAGATGCAAGCCACCGCCCCAACATGCGACCTGTCGGCAGAGTTGGGTTGACAGAACTTGCAGACGTCGGTCGTGCTACGAGAAGTGCCTCAAAAGCAGCCGTAGTTTGCTGAGTGGCTTCTTGTCGGCCATAGGGCCTCCTGAAGTCTTCTCTTACTCGTGTGGTCCCGGTGCTTTACCGTCTGAGTTGCAGTTTAGGCCAGCCCTGCATGGTAGGTCCCTCCTTTTCAGAGTTCCTGGCACAACGAACCCTCACATCCGCAGTATTTCTTTTTGGGACCCCAAACTCTTGGCAACTGGATTGTGAAGATAGCTCCTACAGGCCCCTGACAACCAAAGCTGCAAATCACCCAGACCTACAATTGCGTGACCATTCGAGGCATAATTAATCCAAATTCCTTCAATGGGGGGTTATATAATGGTTTATTTTAGGGGGTTCTTATAGGAGTTATTAAGGGGGATACTAGGAGTTTAGACTGTGGACCACTTGAAGCCAGAACATTCTCTCGTTCCAACAAGTTATAGATGAGATAAAGGGTAGCCGAGACCTGCATTTGAAGAATTGGGAATCATCCCAGCAGGTTCATACGCTTCTATATCCAGACAAGCTTCCGGTCGCTTACCTTATGACAACGCCTTCTCTATTCGCTCGGATTATTTTGGCTGGTTCAAAAGCTCATCTCAGGCTGGTGTACGAAATGTCGCTGTCCGCCTATTCCCAGGGCGAACGCTTCCAAAAGGCTTCTTGACTGTGATGACTGTTTGGTCATGACTGCTATAAGATTTCGTAGCACTACGCTACGCTACACTACACGACACCCATGGAAGGCGGGATGAATGGTAGGTCGCACATGCTTTGCGGAGATGTGGATTGTCTTTCCACATCCTGCCAACAGCACAGCCCACAAGACCTTAAAGCAGCTCACACCGTGTGCGATTTTTCAGGCAGAGCGACGTTCAGACACCGGCATTTTAAAAGGTTGGACATTTACTTACTAGGCCTCCATGCTTGGGGAGGGCCCTGTTTGGAGAAAGAGGCCATGACCATAGTCCTGTTGTCTGTGGCCAGGTTGTTGAAATGGAGGATGTGATCTGCCATCGCGGTCTTGAGCTGGTGGCGTCCCTGACCTGAAGAGGTCTGCAGGTTCAATACATGTACACCTTTGCATATCTATCTATCTATCTATATGTATATGTATAATTATGTATATGTATATCGATTTCGCATAAACATAGAGCGAATACATGTGTGTACAACAGACAAAAACAATGAATTGCGTTTACATGCCCTCACGTCAGTTTGTAGCCAGTAGCAGCCTCACATTCCCTGGCAAGCTTGTTGGGAGGCTGCTTATAGTCGTCCTCTCTTGGCACTTTCGAGAGCAGCCCGTTTGGAGCAGCCTTTCAAGGCCTTGGGAGTTGGGGGTCAGTAGCTACGGTTCATGCAAAAAGAAAGAAATCTGACAACCTAGCCAGAACGACTTGGAGGTAGTAGCCAGCCAACATGCACGACTTCAAAGCTTTGGAGCATTAGAAGCTTCTATCTTGGCGCGCAGGTGGGCTGTGCGAAGATGTTTTTTTGGCGATCTACCCAGCTTCTCCCAGAGTGCGACCGAAGTATGTGGAAGCTACGTGAGACTGACCGTGTTCCACGCTCTACGGTCTGAACGCTTCAGCTTTGAGAGCGCAAATGGCAGATAACCAGCCAGTGTGCCTGACAAGCAAGATTCCTGCACCACGGCAGACCTGACTCTCCTGGAACTTCAGAGATCCGTGCTTGTGCTCCAGCTTGGCATGTCCCTTTGTGGGATGCATCGCCACCGGCAGCAGGAGGAGGATCTCTCCAAGATGCTCATGTTCAAAGGCCGAAGTGAAAAACTACATCTTTTGGCAAGAGATTCTGACGGCTTGAACCCCGATCGCGCACCCTGAAGATCATTGAAGATCTTTCCTTGAGGAAAATCAGGTTGCAGAAGAGAATCCTATCAGTTGGTGGGGCTTCTGCGGTCAAAGTGCCTGCAGACTTGTACATCATCAAGCATTGTCGGACAGAAAGGTTCAAAGAGCAGAGGAGCGCTTGCTCCAATGCATGTACTGGCCAGCCCGAGCCACCGTTAGGTGTTGCCATGGCCAGCTGAAAGCTGCCATTTCGAATGCATTTGCAAGGCTGCCAGCCTTTGTTCGCAACAGAAATGAGGCTGCTGGAGCAGCTGTTAGAGAGCGGCCTTCCAAAAAGAGTGTGCCTTTGCAAAATGTTGCTTGTGGCCGAATGTTCTGTCAACAGGGGCTTTCAAGCAGAGATCCAGAAGAAAGCTGTCCTTTCTCATCTGAGGGATTACTTCAAAGCGTCCCTTGATTTTTGCACCGACCGCTGCAAAACTGCAGAAGCAAGCAGGACTACTTCGCACTTAAGCGGGAGAAGAACAAGCCACTCTCACGGGAGTCGATCAAGGCTGGGTCTACAATATGGGGTTTAGGGTAGACTTTCATAGGGGCAGCTTCCCGAATCGGGGAACCATGCTGTATCCCAACATGCAATCCTAGATGCCCCCTCGGTAGACCCCTAGTATTGATCTTGTAAATTTTCACTTTTGTTGGTGGGATTTCGAGACCCGACACCTGAACTGCAAAACCAACAAGTGGAGACAGGGTGAAACCCTCATGTTTGTTTCTAAGCCCACATACCCATACGACCCTAGATACAAACTTTTTTTTATATGGTCGTTTCCCAAAACAAGGAAACCCCAATATAGACCCCAAAATACTATAGTCCTTATTATTGGGACCCCTAAAATGGTACCCATAATTTTGGGAAACCCCCATATGACCCTATACCACTCCAGCTTTGAAGGCCTGCGCGCGCGCCATCCTTCTCGTGGTGGCTGGCCTTCACGCCAAGGGCCTGGTCCACTTGGCTCTTCGGCGATGAAAGGGTGTCATGTTTGGGGTTCAAGGCTTAGATCTTGTAGGGTCAAGGGTGTAGGATTGGGTTCAAGATCTAGAATTCACGGTGGACTCCAGGGTTTGGTGTTCTTGCGACAAATGGATCCAAACTGCATTAGGTTATAGAGTTTACAGTTCAGGGGTTCATAGGTTCAGAACTGATGTTTGGGCCATGCAGTCTACTGATTGGTGGGTGATGGCCAGGCAACGGCCAACTATGCTTGAACTCGGAAGCTTTCAATTCATCTCCACATGCTGCTGCCGGGGCAATACTTTGGAGACGGCAGCCTGCTTGCTCTAATGTCCGGACGCCTGCCTGCCTGAGATATGCTGAGGACCTGAAGCCGGAGAACTTGATGATGCTCCCTGTCCTCGAAGTACTCTGAGGTTAAGGGGAATCTAGAGTCATAAGTAGGACAGGGGTAGAAAGTTACAGTCTCAATTGAGATACTTCTAACCGATCCTGACCTCACTTGCAACTACACCTCTATACTTATAAGTTTCTCTGAACTTCCAAGTACTGATACGGTCTGGCAGCGCTGTATTGCCATGTATATATGCTAACTATTATACTATTGTAGTTTCCATTTTCTTTTCCATTATCCCTATATAAACCCAGTATTTACCGCATATTATGGTAGCCCAATACTACCATTATCTCTACATGTATGGACGAAACCACGAGTGTTGTCACAGTCGACTGTTTTCCTGTCGGTCGGGGCACATTTTTTCTGGGTCGGATGTCGCTACAGCACCAGCTTGGAAAGCCCCTTTCGGCGCCTTGGCCAGAGCCAGAGATAGCCACCCCCCGGTCGAGGAAAGGATACTGTAACGAATCAAGGTACAGTTATACCCGAATCATGGAAAGCTTCAACACAGCAACTCCTTCCACACGTGTAATGCTTGGGCTACAATCTACTATAATATGCTATACCATAATGTACTTTAATATACTACTATACCCCTATTACAACGGTGGTACTTGTGACGAGTCTTTTTGCAAAGCTTTCAATTTGCAAGCCGCCCAGCGGGGTTCCCTTAATTAGGGTTACCATTTTGGGGGTCCCAATAACAAGGACTATGGTAGATCTATAGTGGAGTCCGTATTTAGGGAAACTACCAGGGGCACCAAGTGCAAACAACTTGTGCCCAAGCAGCCGTAAAGGTTCAACGGACGCCTCAAGCTTATCGATGTGGACGGATGCGTCCCGATCGACAGTGCCACCCCCAAGCTGACTGTTTGGAGTTCTTGATTGAAGCGGCGAATTCACTTTAGAGCCGCGTCTATGGTTATCGCGCTTGGTTTTTTTGTACGATGAAGTCATTTTAGCTATAGAGGAAGTAGGATTTGAACTTTGGGAGTTCGTGGCTTCTATCCTTGAATTTGTGGTCTTGAGATGTCTTGAGTGTCAAGTTTGGGGGTGAAGATCTGGCATTTGGCAGTGGGAGATGTGCAGCCGATACAAATGGTTGTCGCCTTGAATGGATGTTTACTTCAGTTTATGCTGGTGGCATTTGTCTCCCTGAATTGCATCTGCCTGCCCTAATGTATCCTTGTTCACGATTCAAGTGATCCTGAGTGGCTTTCTGATCCGGGCTTGCAGAAAGGATGCCTTTCCTGAGGCAACAGCACCAGTTTCAGAACTGAGACATGCTTTCGGGGAAGCCTATCTAGCAATCTTACAGCTCCTTATCACGCTACCCGTACTCTTAGAAATTGCAGGCAGTCCCTTTGTGGGAATTGTGTGCCTTCCCTAATGCCTCCTTGAAGCCACTTTAGACCCTCCCTCACGCCTTCTCCTGGCCATAAACACTTTTTACCTTCCAGGTGAGGTTTCCATCAATGACTCCTCCATCTCTTTCTCCCCCTGCTATTGCGCCCCGGAGTGGGCAAGGCAACGCCGTGGTGACCTTAGGAATTTCAGAGTTATATTGGGAGCTGAGGGCATTTTCAAGGTCGCCTTTGCAGATTACACATACATGTTGTGGGGGAAGCTTTTCCACAGCTCAGGTCCCATTGTGTACCCTGCAAAAATCAGGTGCTGATCGGGGAGACTTAGGGGTGTTTGTGTTGCCGTTCACAGAAGAACATGAGGCATTGCTGGAGTATTGCTTCATGACATGACCAAGTTGACATGATCCAAGTTGACATGATCCAAGGGTTGTGCCAATTTAGGTGCGATCAGGAAGCACTGTCTCCAAGCAGGAACTTTGCAGAGCATTTGTAAGGATGGCAAGAAATACTGCATAGTCGCGACCCTTTATCTAACCGTGGAAAGCAGTACATAGGTAAGTTTTCAGGTGCGGCTGCATCTCCCAAGGAAGTAAGTAGTCTTCATATTCTGCCACAGGCAACACAGCATATCTTTCATGCTGTCAGACAGCTTCGTATGCCACTCTCACCACCACGGCAGGTTCCTGATCGATGAGGCCGAGTCTAAGATCATTGCAAAGCCGCACCTTGACGTGCGAGCCTTAGTTCAGGTCCCAAGATAACCCCAGTATACTATAGTAGTTTCCATTTTATTTTCCATTATCCCAATATGACCCCAATATACCATAGTGGTTTCCATTGTATTTTCCATTATCCCAATATCACCCCAAATATTATAGTATCTTCCATCTTATTTTCCGTCATCCCAGTATAACCCCTTATACAACTCTGTATACCAACAGGAACTTGGTGGTGGTTCATGGAGAAATGGATTGAGATGGATCCCTGAAGTCTCTTGGAATTCCTTATCACAATCCTGATAGCCCATCCCTTCATTCCCTGCTACAACCGTGGGGCGAAAAGATTCAACATCATAGCCTGGCTCCTTTTTGCTAAAAGGGCAGAAGCCTCCACCATGATACACCTCGACTGTAGATTGGGATAATGGAAAATAGAATGGAAACTACTATTGTAGATTGGGGTAATACTGGGATAATGGAAAAGAACATGGAAACTATTATAGGGTTTAGTAGGGGTTTAGTCTGGCGAGGTCTGGAGCATTGGCATCACTCTTTGCGAGCTCGTGACGCATCCCGGCTGTAAACGGCTCGAGTTGCGGCTGCTACAGAACCGCCCAAATGGCTGAATTCATGCACCTAGGAGAGTGACCACAAGAACTAATATCTCGCCCAGGGTCATGGGAAAGAATCTGCCGTAGCAAACTCTATGGTCGAGTAAGAGTGGCAGCGCAGAAACTGTGAGAAGAGAGGGTTCTAGTAGTCATAGTCCTGAGCTCCTTGAGAGGCTGGATGCCATCTTGAAGCCCATGTACGGCAACTTCCTTCGCAACGGACACTCCCACCGAGAAGCAGGCGACAATTCTTGACCCAGCACATCTCTCCGCAATCTCCAAGCCAGAACATCTTGCAGGAAGCAAGCAGTCCCGAATTTCATTGTTTGCCATTGTCCGCTCAGCAAATCCTGTGCTCATGCCTCTGGAGAGGTTTCCTCTTCATGGACTGGCTGGGACACATCACGTGCCACGTCTGCCTCAGGTGTTGTTTTGGGACACTTGAGCTTTCCCTTGTTAGCCCTGAAAGAAGTTGAAGGTGTCACTGGAGGCCGCTATTCTCATTTTGCTGCGCAGGATAGTTGCTTGTAAGCTCACGTTGCTACGCCCTGCCATCACCACATGCAGGGAATCCTGCCATTTGGTGTCTGCGCACTGATCTCAAACATGTTGCTGAAGCATGCAGCTGCCGCAGCCTCGGTTGAGATTCAGTTTGACCTCCTCTAGATCCTGATTTGAAGCCATGACGGAGCAGGAGGCAGATGCTTACCTTGCCATGCTGTGTGCCAGTATGCTGCTGCCCTTGTTGAACGATAGCAATGACCGCTCACTGATGGACACGGTATTGGGCTTTTCCTGTGATGCTGTGCGGTGAGCTTTGTCGCATGCTCCGCCAAAGAGCACAGTTGCTCACAGCGCCGTATGCCTGCCGCGGTTCTCTGAGATCCCTCGGAGCGTGCCGTGAGGGTCTGATTGATGCTGGAGCCAGTGCCCGCGGTCAAATTACCCTTCTTCAGTTGGCAACCAGGTCCACAAGCGGTCTCATCCGCTTCAGTCAGCGACTGATGCGGGAGGATTTCGTGCACATCGTGTGCATGGTGCAGAACCCAAGGCTCCTGGCGGAGGAGCAGATGGTTCCCGAAGATACGCGTGGCACCCACAATGGTGCAACTCAATATTTAAGACCGCAGCACTGGCCCTGTTGGTTCTTCTTGTTATCTACTGGTTGTCGAAGGCCCGGGTATGGGAGGTGGAGCCGAGGAATGCGTCGCCCGTTTTTCCATCTTGTTGGTATGGAAGCGCGCAGACCACTACCCTCTGTTGGCCAACTGCTGCCCAATTCACTATTGTTTTGGCGATCTACTTGGCTCGTCACCTGGAGTTGATGGACGGGGCAGGTCAAGAAACAAAAGCTGCATCTTTGCGGTGCCGCTTTTGTATTTCGCCACTGGCTGCCTAAGGGGGTGATGCTGGCAGAAACCAATCGTCATTCCGAGAATCTTTGCAACAGGCCGGGGCTTGACGCAGGAGGAGCTGGCGCCTTTGCTCTCCGAACTACGGAGACATGGGCAAAAGCTGCAAGCTCGTTGGCAAGGTCAATATGTCTTAGGCCACCGTTCATGTCATAGTTGAGCTGACCGTCGTTGTCTACCCCCTCGCTAGGACCTCTGCTATAGCAGGCAGAACGATCTTTTTGACCGCGGAAAAGTTCGTCCGGAGGTAGGCAAGCACGCGCTTTGATTGTACAAACCTTGGGGG